TTCAACAAGCAAGTAAAATTCAACCAATAGCATACAAGGTACTTACTTAGATTCACATTGCAATGAGGACCAGCATGAGCGAGCGGTCAGGTAAGACAGCTTGGCCAAGTGGCCCTGACCCCCTTGTTGCAATCCTTTTTGTCCTCAAAAACCGCAAACCACAGATGTGACTCCCAGGATTTGCAACTGAATCATAATGTCCTTGGTGCTAATTTTACCACAGTTCCCTGTTCCATTGCTCCTGTCACACTCCTTCTATCAGCACTCTATTTTCTGGCTTTCTGTCCATGACTGAAAACTTTAGTCCACATAGTAATTTTATTTATTGCTCTGTAATTTTATTTATTTATTTAATTTATTGCTCTTTTTCCCCTCACACCTGGGACATTTCAAAATTCTGAGTGGTGCTTAAGGGGCAATCCGAAAACTTGCATTTGGTTTGCAGAGAAGTATGAAATGGAGTAAGTCCTGCTCTCGCAGTGGAAAGAGAGGCCAGTCAGCAAGTCTACAGCAGCTGGAGACCCCACCCTACCTCCAAAGGTTGGCCCATCCTGGTATCAATAAGCAAGCAGCATTCTCCTTTGTGAATTACTGAAAGTTTACTATTGTTAGGTGACTATCTGCTCCTTTGTGGGAAGGTATTGTTCACTAGAACAGGCATTACATCCTGAGTAACAGAGGAGGTTCTCTAGTTGCATTTCTGTATTTCAAATAGCACAATAGAGGCTTGAGTATTAGAAAGGGAACATTCCAGTGGCTAAACTCACCTATGATTACCAGAATGTTTATTTCTGAGTTAGGTGCCTAAGACAGCACAAAGGAGGCATTTGTGTCTCGATAGCTGCCACTGTTCCTTGAAAAGCATTGCAGAGTATAACCTTTCTTAGTGCTCTGAAATCTGTTTTGACTACACAACCGTCAAGATTTCATATTAGCTTACTATTAATAATAGCTCAATATTGAGGGTGGGGGGGGAGCATTAGAACTTCAGAAGGCAGGAGATTCTGAATCCCAGTAGTACCCCATCTAGTGTATCTTGCAAGAAATGCAGTTTTTTCCCCTGCCGATTATCTGCAGACCATACTGAAAGTAGGAGGTACTTAAGTAAAAAGTATGATTGAGGGGCCTTTCGAGGCAGGGAAGCACTTTATGTCATTCTATGCTTTACAAGACACAAGCAAGCTAATAATTCCAGATACTTGACCAACTCCTGCTTCTACTATGAATGATTTGGTCTAGATCTATACACACATGGACATGCACAAGTATGCCTCACAGCTATGAGCGGTTCTGTTCTCTATTCCCAACCTGGGCAGTTTGGTCGGTCACATGTCCTCGATTCAGTGGCTGTGCAGGCATATCCACAGGTCCTGGTGCGTTTCTGATTGCCGCTCCCACAGGTTGTACTACAAACTGACCACAGGCTCCAGTCTCCCTCTCCATCTATGTAATCTGAAAGGGAAGAGAAAAAAAAATAGGAAAAAAGAAATAGACACAAAGAAAGGCTTGCTGTTGAAAGTAGACGCAATCTGTTGCTGTCTGCATGCTGGCTGGAGATTCATGCCTGTTCTAATGAGATCTGCAGCAAAACGTCGCAGCATGTATTTCTACTAAGTGGATTCCAGACAGTGGATGCCCCATTCTACCCATTTTATCATGTTTTTCAACCCTTCCTAATAATCAGTGAGTTTAATTTGTTTGGTTTTATTTTTGAGTGTGGTCCCCCCTCTCTTTCTGAAGAGAGTCCACCAAGCCTGCTAACACATCCCTCTTCTGCATGGAGGGTACCATTTTAACTCTGTAGAGCTCCACTACTTCTAAATGAGTTCATTGTTAGTACAGAAGCCTTTATATCTGTGAATAGAATCACATCCATTTGCCTTCCTTTTGAGTCTGATTTCTACCAGACTCTGCCTGCCCCTTCTCTTCACTATCAGTGATGCACAAACACCCTACTCTTGTATTCTGGAGGCACCTGTTTAGCCAAGCAATGGCAGTTTTGCTCACTCACCATATTCTGGCTGCTCCTTTGATTCAAACATCCGATGACTTGATGGATGCCTGTCCCACCTGCCACTCAAGGGATTCAGGAAGTTGCTGTCTTCAGTTGTGCTATCATATTTATAATCCTGGTCACCACTACTCATGCGAGTAATGGAAGGTGCTGATCTTTGCCACCAGTTTCTCCAATTTGGTGATGGGACAGGCCAGCTGGTTTTGCTGCTTTCTCTTTGAAGACCTTTCTCTGATTCAGAGTCTGTTCCATCAACAACTTCTATAGTCACCTGGAGAATTCAAGAAAACATGGCATTCAGGCCTTAGGAACTGCCTTCCTTCAAATCAGAAAAGCTCTTAATATACTAATAAATCACGCAAAGCCTAAAAGACAGCTGCAGTCTGGTAAAGAATACATTGGAGGAAAAAAAAGGCTTAATGCAAACTGGGTGAAAAAGTTACAGATGCTATGATGTGGAACAAATAAGAAATTACTGCTGTCCCCCACAGCATGGGCCTTCAGTTCATGAATCAAGATCCACAACTGGGAAAAAGAGGAAGAAAAAAAATTGTCAGAGACATAAATGAAAGGAAAAAATAGAGCAGTCCAGTTCACTTTTGTGAGAAAAGGTGATTCAGAAAAGGTTAAAGATCACTGCTTTATTGGGAAACAGGCTTTTAGAAAAATCCACATGACCAAATGATAAAATGAAATATAAATCTGAAAAATCAAATTCCAAAGACTCAAAAAGGCAAGGGATTGTGTTAAACCAAATATTACAATGATTTCCTTTTATTTTATTCTATCTCTTAGAATCTGATGCAATGCAATCTTCTTCTGTACAAATAGGAAGTACAGCATAGATTTTGTTTTATACCTTGTGAAGTCTTGTAAAATTATTATAACCCAGGGAATCAGAAGGGAAAAAAAATCCTTAACTACTCCTAGAAACTAGTTCTTTTCTTTCTAGTTTTTATTGTTTTATATTATTATTTTGTATTGATATTTTAAACTCTGTTGGCCATCCATGGTCACTTCTGCAAGATGGGTGACCATATAAATACATTAAAATAAACAAAATGAAATCTTTAAAGACAAATGTAAATTCAGTGATTGAATATGAAGGACTTATATATTTTCTATCAATACCCCTCTGCAATTTGTCATCATTATTTTAGCTTTCCTGTAACCATAAGAGGTATGTTCAGAGATTCCCACATTTTACAAAGTGTTAGCGTGGCAGACTGAACAGACTAGGGGCGAAGGAAGGCACAGAACAAGGACACGTACAAGGCAGACAAGAGGAGAGATGAACAAGAAAAAATAAAAACTGAATCTAATGGAAAGTCAAGGAAAACAGGAAACACATACTTAATGTCCTTTTTCCATATGCCAGTAGTTTATAACTGGTTACAGTTTAAATGTTGTTGGACCACAAGGTAGCTCTGAATAAGATATATTATTTTTACAACTATTACATATTATCATATATTATTATATGCAAATATACTGCATATACTGTATGCAAATATATTAATATAGTTATGATTAATATAATGTTAATTATTTTAAAGACAATTTGATCATTGGCATTTGGAAAAGTTTTGTTCATAGATAGTATGTTTAGTAATTCACAAATCAGTAATTCCAGACCACTTCAGCTTATTTATTCATTCTTATATTTTATATTTCTGCTGTAAGGTCTCAGTATTAACTATTAATGATCTATTTAATATTGGGGTATATTTATGCATATGTTTACTATGGATTAAAATGTTGCCTTGGAATTGTTGGCAAGTTATCTTGAAACATTGTATTATATTAGCTCCCCAAAACATTTGGGCCATTCTGAGTGTGTTTTCAGCCTCACGGATGACATTGTTGATAAGTATAAACTAGTTAAATTATATTAGCCCTGGAACTTTATCTGTACAATCAAGCCACTGGTCAATTTACTCCAACGTTATCAGTATTAGAAGTGACTCTTCCCCAGTCTGCTCAAAGTCTGGGAATTGTAATCCCACCAATCTGGAAGGCATCAGCTTGGGGAAAATTACTGAAGTACACTGATGTATCATTGTTTGTATTAACTGTAGCCTCCTAATTTCCAGGAATACCCTACACAATTTTCTGTTCAGTAGTATTTCAACACAACAGTGTGTGTGTCTGTGTATGTTTTTACACGGAATAAAGAAATTTAAAATCTATTCCCACACAAATACACACACACACACACACACATGTCATGGAGGTATTATACCATACAGTGAGATGTATACTTGTCCAGAGGGGAAACACTCCAAGCTTAATTGAAGAAGGGGGCTTTAGTTCACAAAATCCCACCTCACAGTGTGAATCGGCTGGCCTTCAAGGTGCAACAGCATATATTTGGTTTTGTGGCAAATGGTTATTATGGCTCCCTCTGTGGAAGTGTGGGAAATGGTGACTAAAAAACTGGAAGAAAAGGAGCGTTCAGATCAAGAAGTGAAATATCAGACTTAATTTCAGGACCTCCTAGAACTCCGGCGCTATTTAAATAGGCTTGAAAAGCATAAACATACATCACGCATAAAATAATTTGGCAGCCTAGCCCATTTGCTTATACATGACTTCACTTTCTTTCGAAGGAGAAGAAAGTGAACCTGTTGCCCGGTGAATAGCCCTGCTATGCCAGCATGACTGCATGAGTTGGCATGTGTCAAATCAGTGCTGATTAACAAAAGAGCTTTTCAGGAAGAAAGAAAGAAAAATCAATGCTCCCCAAGGAAATATATTTAAAAAGTACCTCATTTTCAAGAACTTCCTGGGAATTCATTTCCTTGAGTGCAGTGGTGCATTTGGCTGCTGATTTGGCAATCAAATTAAAAAAGCAGCTGTAGCACAAAAGTAACAGCTGCTCGGGTTACCCTTTCAAATGATTCCTTGCCTTGCTCCTAGTGAAACAATTGCCCACTGGCAGAGGAGCTGAATAAAATATTTTGTTACTGAAACAGATGCAGGCAAACAGTCAGTAAACAGATAGGCACTGGTGGTAGGTTAGCACAAGCACAGAAAGTCTATCTAAGAAGCGGATGATTGCTATTTTAAACTGGAAATGTTTAAACTGTCCTTCCTCAATCTCCAGATGTGTTCGAGCAACAGCTTCCAGAATTCCCAGCTGGCATGGCCAACGGGGAAGGCAGGTTTAAATAAATACTCATTTATATTTAGCCTAAAATGGGTCAAAGAGAAGAGAAGATAGGAAGAAATTGACTAATTTACATGTATCTGCTTGAAGAAATGTGGTGGATGGTCAAACAGAACATTACACAGATATATTCAATTCTGTCTGCAGACAAACATTCCATTTTAAAAAACTGGAAACTTTCTAACAGGTGATCCCAGAATAACTTACTTGAGACCTAACATTGACTCTAAATGTAAGCTACCTGATCTGGCCTACAAAAACCCAGATGGCAGCAAAGGATACAGAAACCTCTATTTGCAGCCAATTAGTGACCATCCCATTTTTTTCAATCCAGTTATGGTAAACCTATCTAAAGATACAAACTTGGCTTCCAAAGTAATGTTAGTCCAAAAGATCCCAGGTTCATTCTCAGTTACTTGCAGTCCAAAGCTCCTCAGGAGAAACCAGTCCATTTAAATTAATTCAAAGAAACTATGCCTTTAACCACATACATTTTACCATAACAAGATGCTGTGGTGAGGCCCCTTTAGTGATAAAAAATTAATCATCCAAGGCTCAGTCAATCACTCCCACATTCATTTCCACTTTCCTTGTCTGCTGTTCACATTATGATCTAGGTCTGTGGAACTTTTGCTATTACATGGAGGCTAATAATAGCATTTCAGATCAATTAATTAACCAATAAAATGCACTATTTCACTCACTAATGATCTTAGCTTCTGCCACAAATATTTAACCACGGAGCAATAGTACAGGAATTTAACAAAGCATCCTTTTCTTGCACATACCATTTCCATATTTTTTCATATACTGCCCAACTATTTAATAGGGTTCATGCTACATTATTTATTTATTTGTTTCATACTGTGAATTGCCCAATTATTTTTAAATGAGAGGTCCATTTAATTTTCTTTGCAGAATTTAGGTCTTGCATCTTGGTTTTTTCCCCTTTGCTCCTGGTATTTGAAAATGCTTTTTAAAAAAGGTACATGTTAAGTCAATGATCACCTTTGAATAAAATACAAAGAATAAAACGGAAGACCTTTACCTGGATGTCAGGGTTTTGCCCATTAATGTCTGCTTTTGAGAAGTCAGGAAAATTTGGAAGATCCAAGAGGAAAGATCGGGGTCCATCTCTTTGCAAAGAAGTCTGTCCATTCTGCTGCCTGAATCGCTGCTTGGCAAATGAGCGGTGTGCTGCCTGGTGACCACGATAATTCTGTCCATCTTCTGGGTCTAGCATGAAGCTGCTCTCGAGAGACGAAAGGCTATCTGTGTGAAGGACTTCCTAGGAAGACAAAGAAAAAAGGAAACAAACTCAGTTTTTGTAGATCCAAGAAAGATATTAGGCCGGATACAGAAAGGTTTAGCAGAAGTAACTCTGGTCATGGACATCTGAGGGTAGAGGAAGGCAAAGGGGAAAATGACAATTTGTGTGTGATGAAAGAGCACTGCACCGTTTGTTTGACATCATGACACCCTCCCCTAGATAACCTCAAAGAACAGGATGAAGTGGGCTATCTAATGAAAAGACGACTGGCTCAAGATCATGGCTGAATAGGATTGAATTTGGATCTCTCATGTTCTACGTAGCATAATTTAATCTCAGCCACATCTCTAAATCTCTTATATATTTCGGACTAGAGCTCCTGGCCATTGGTTATAAAAACTATAGGTCACAAAATCGCCTGTCCTTGCTCTAGAACGAGCCTGCACAGATTGTGGCCCGCCAGCTATCCTTGTGCAGCCTACTGGCGTTTTTTGAAAACTCAAACCAAATGTTGCTGCCACCAGGAAAGATCTGCTGCCACCTTGTTTTCCACTGCCACCAGGAAAGACATGCTGCCAAATATTCATATGGATGCAGGATTCTACAACCATTAGTTTGCAAGTAATAACACATTTTCATAAATTGGTCTCTCCTCTTGCTGCTCAAAGCTTTTTAACTGGAAACACTGAAGGCAGGGTCTCCAGCCTTCTGCATCAAACTAAATGCTAGAGTTCATGCTTCACAGTCCAAATACATTAAGTTCATTCTTTGTATTCAAGAAATTTCTTAATGATAACTGTCATGCTTTCTGGAATATATAAAATATAAGAACCATCATGAATGCTTATGATCCCACAGCATAGAAATTAGACCAAACCTATGTTTTCTTTAATAAACCTTCAATTAATTTAAAATCCAAAACTAGCTGGTTAATGAAACAAATATATCTATCTTTGAAATGTTGCTACAAGAGCACCTGGATTACTCCTACGCCACGTATAGCAAACTATAGGACCATTGAGAGGAGTAATAGAAGACACGAAGCCTTTATGAAGCTAATAATGGACTAAGTGATAGTCCAGGTTTCCAGAACACCTGGTTTATAATTAAAAATATTTAACACAGAGGCTTCAGATGAAAGTCTGTAAGAACTGTAATACCCAGAGTACACGATTCCTTCCTGCAAGCAACAAAGCATAGAGGAATAAAGCTCTGCTACACATTAGTAGTCTCTCGCTTGAAAATTAATGAATGCAGCCTCGTTTCAACATTGTTCAAGCCCTAACCCTCCTCTCCGCCTATGCTCTATTGTTACAACATCAAAGACCAACTGCTGGCTCAGATACAGTCAATATGAAAAGAGAAGGCCCCCTAAATTTACTGCTTGACTGCATTCTCTTTAAATGGAGAGCACCGTGGTCCTCTTTCAAAGGAGGTATCCCAGACATAGATCTTCTTTATAGGACATCATGTACAATAAAACAAAGCTATAACTTTACCAAAAAAAACCACAAAACCCACCAACAACCCAACCCAACAACAAACAATGTGAAGCACCTTTCAAGAATCCTCATGAGGTGAACATTCCTATTTAAAAAAAATATCACTGTGGTTACCAGTTTGTAAAACCTTTGACATATTTCATCCATAGTTCAAAGCTTACCGATGACATTATTTAAGTGTTTATCTGTTTGTTTTTTTAAGTGAATTATAATTTAGGTGGGTGTGCACTTACATGTTTGATATTCTGAATTGTTTTTAACACTGGAACAGCCTTGGATTATTAAAATCTTGGAATGATTTGCTTAGGCATTACCACAAATTTACTCTCTGAAAAAAATCAAATCAAATCAAAGTCCTTCCCCAATATTAGTATTTTTACATTTAAATAATTGAAATCATGACAGATCTTCATCCCATAAAGTAGGAAGAGCTTTGCTGTGAAAAAACGTACCCCCATTAAACTCTTTTGTTTCCAATCTAAGCAGTGAATGCTTTGAAAACGACTTGGTCCAAATAAAGCTTAAGATCGGTTACACATAATACCTCCAGAGTCTACTTTTTCATTCACTACAAGAAATTTAACCCATCTTTGTTACTGAGCTATTTTAACGTTTGCAGATGCTGTAGCTATGTTAAAAATGGGGACACAGCTCCATGGAAGAGGCACACACAGATGGATGGAAGCCACCTCTCAGAGCCAAAAAGTAGTTGCGCTGGTCTGTCTTTTAAAAAAAATCACAATAAGGCAACTAACAAGTCCAAGACCAACTAAAAAAATCAATAAATAGTGAAGACATCTTTACATTTTTCAGAACAATCCTCATACTGGATGTCAAGCAAAACATGGGTAAACACTGGATGGACGTGATACAAGTGTGAAGACAAATGTAATATTCTAAGAATTAAAACATACCAAAGTATGTCAGAAGTAGTTTGGATATAAATTTCTTGCTTTGGAAACAAACAGCTTTAAATACAATAAATGGTGCCAACGTTTCTTCTATCATATGTAATAAGTTCACCAAACCTTTCCCACCATATACATATTTAGAAGCTTATAAATGTACTTTGAAATATGCTGGTCTCAAGTTAGCAACTTTCTGCAGACAGAACATAGCACTGGAATTCTGAGTATGTGAGGACTGTTGAAGGAGAAAATGTGAAGAAAAACTAAAGGATTTCCAAAAATCTCTTTAGATGAACCTGAATTAAATCTGCCATAAATAGCATAGCATGAGTTGAATCCAACTTTGCAAGAGCTGTCAAACATCTGGAACCTTTTCCCCAGGTACCCCTGTGCCCCCACCACACTATGGGTCTGGTATGGTACTTCAGAACCTGAACACCTGCCTGAGCTTCTGCTCCCCAGAGAAAATACATGAAATTTTGCAACATTTCCTCTGGATTTGTAAGTAGGCTTCTCACTGGCAGGAATTCCCACCAAGTCCTTAGTTTTGGCTCCTGCAATTTTTTCTTTTCTCCTGTAGCCCAAACGGTGTGATACATTGCCACAACTACTCTCTCTCGGAGGACAGTTTTGCCTTTCCCATCACAAAGTGGGGAGTTCTTGTTATTTTTCTCTTCTATTCCCCTTTATTTGAAGGGAAGAACAGATATGGTAAAGAAAAAGATGGCCTGGGGGCCTGATGGGGGCTCACATCATTGGAATTGGGTCATGGGGTAATTGATTCTACCCCCCCCCCATCATCTTGAATGTTATAGTCTTTTTATGTCTATAGCTTTTTTAATATATGGTATGATTTTTTTAGCTAATTTAATATGGATACTTATATTTTTTACTGTTTTTGATGTTTTATTTTAATTGTGAGCCACCCAGAGTTACCCTCCAGGGGAGCTGGGCGGCATATAAATTTAATAAATAGATAAATAATAAATACAAATGGAAGTGTTTGTCATTTCTGGTACTCTCCCATTACCCTGCCAGACTCTAAAAGGATGGCTGGTTGGATCTGCTGGAGAATGAATACAGCAAGCAGGAGATTTACATATGATGCAAAATGACTGCAGAGAGTTTCAGTAGCTGTATGGAAGTATCCTTAGAATATCTTCCCCAACTAAGCATGCTCCAGGTGGGCCAGCTCTCATGAGAGGTGCTGTTGCAACACAGAAGAGTTTTGGGAAGGCTGTTCCAAGATAATTCGTATTTTTAGGAACATGCTGAATGGAGATAATATTGCAGCATCAAGCAAAAATCTATTTTAAAAAATCAGATGTTGGAATCTTAAGAAACCCTGGTAGGAACAAACTGTAGCAGGTTACTTAAATTTTCTAACACTGATGGCTTAATTCTGGAAGAGATACAAGAAACCTTTTTACTCCCTGTGACAGTATTCTTCAGCTAAACTTCCAGATGGCATAATTCTATTGCCCCAAATACTAGGCTTCAAACATTTCCTGATCAATATACTTCTGATCTTAAAGCACTTGTCCCAGAACGCTACATGCTGCACACAGCTTCACTATCCATTTTTGTTTTCGGCCTGATGGGCATGTTCTGTTTGTATTTTTTCTGCACACTATTATAATAAAATATAGCAAGAGAGTTCAAAGGCAGAAGTTAAGAAGCAGCAGATGTTCAGCTGCCCTTATGCACCTTTGGGTCATCTACAGAGGGACAATGGAGAAAGTGTGTGTGTGTGTGTGTGTGTGTGTGTGTGTGTTTATGAAAAAAAATCCCCACTCATTCCTATGGGTGGTATGTGTCTTCCTCACTCTTTGAGTTTTGAGGGTTCTGCGCAGTATCTTAGCTGTGCCTAGCCCTGCACTTTTCTGGACAGAGAGCTTTGATGTCATTCCTGGGATCTGTTGGGAGTAAGTTCAAGCAGAGAAAATGCCATGGCAAGACAAGACCCTGCATGAGATGTACCATCTACAGATAGCTGAGTTGGCTGACATTGGGAAATCCTACCAGTGCCTGGAAAGGGCTGGACTAAAAGACAGCATTGAGGCACTGATCATAGCAGCACAAGAACAGGCACTAAGCACCAGATCCATAGAAGCAGGGGTCTGTCACACTAGACAGGATCCAAGGTACAGACTGTGCAGAGAGGCCTCAG